TCCAGGGCAGCATCTGTTAGCTGAAATACCTCAATTGGGATACCATCTATTCCTGGGGCCTTATTTTTTGCTATTTCCTTCAAAGCAGCTTAAACTTTCTTCATCACCATAGGCTCTTGCTCACATGCTGTTTCATGAAATTCTTTGGTGTCTGCCAATTCCTTTTGATACAGTGACTCTGTGTATTCTTTCCATCTTCTTTTAATATTTTCTGGATCATTTAATATTCTGCCTAAAGCATCCTTGATTATACCAACTCGAGGTTTGAATTTGTTCTTCAGTCCTTGAATTTAAGAAATGCTGAACGAGTTCGGCCCATTTGATTTTCCCACTCCAGCTCCTCGCACATTTCATTGTAGTATTTTGCTTTGTCATCCCATGCTGCCTTTTGGAATCTACTGTTCAGCTCTTTAATATCTTGAATTCTTTCTTGTGCTTTGGCTTCTCTGTGCTCCAGTGCAATCTTCAGAGTTTCTTCTGACATCCATTTTGGTCTTCTTTTTTTTCTTTTCTGTCTTTGTAATAACCGTTTGCACTCTTCCTGGATGATACATTTGACATTTTCCCACAACTCATTAGGTCTTCGCTCATTAGTGTTCGAGGCCTCAACTCTGTTCGTGAGATGGTTCTGAAATTCAGGTGGGATAAATTCAAAGTCATATTTTGGTTTCCATGGATTTGGTTTTATTTTCCTCAGCTTCAACTTGAACTTGCATATGAGTAGTTGGTACTACTTAAGAAAATATAGTGAAAATGTATAATGTACATGTTTATTGGCACTGCCTATTCCTTCAGTGAAGTGTGGACTTCTTTCTTCCTCACCATTGCTTCTTAACATAGTTACTTCTTAAAATGTTTCTATATCAGCCAATTATTTTTGGCATAGTGACTCAGAATATTCTTTCCATCTTCTTTTGATGTTTCCTGTATCATTCACGATTTTGGTCACGGTGAACTTCACCCTTGAATTTGCTTTTCAATTCTTTCTCTCAGCTTCAAGAATGACACTTAAGTTCTTCTCTTTTTTACTTTCGAACTCCAGACCTTTGAACATATCATCATAATACTTTTCTTTGTCTTCTTGAGCTTCCTTTCAAAATTTTTTCTATTCAACTCCCCACTTCACAATAATCCTATGAACAACAGATTTGAACTTTACTCTAACTTGTGTCATCATTGCAATCCCCACCATGTTCAGGTCCAATGCCGAAGTCACAGTCAATGTATCTTGTTGAAGGTCTTAATATCTTCTGACCCTCCAACTCTCTAATATAATGCCTTTTACCACGGACTGGTCCCTTGTGACCATTGCTCATAGTATGTTACATAATCTTTCATTATTCTTGCCTCTAAGGAGCACTATGGTTGCATTTCCTGCAAGACAAATTTGATTCTTCTTTTGTCAGTCTATGATACCAATACCATAAAAAAAAAGCATAATTCTCCTACCTTTCAAATACATAAAAAAATAACAACCCTGAAAATACTTTGATTTAGATCAGGCACACCTTAGTCCTTAAACTAATATTCCTCCTTTTCAGCACTTTAAAGAGAACCTGACAGCAGAATTTCCCAATTTCTTGACTGCTACTTTATGTAGGTTGATTGTGGATGCAAGTAAAGTGAAACTGCTGACAACTTCAAACTTAAACAACATGCCTCCAGAAACACTATGAACTTTGATAAAAGACAATAGTTGTCGAGGGGCTTTAATCCTTTTGTTCATAGTGTCACTATGAGTTGTGCTTGACTCAAAGGCAATCAACAACAACATTATGATGTTACAGTAATATATTGGCAGAGAAATGCCAGAAATTAAAATTACATTAAGAAGAGGTGTGAAATAATGCATGACACTGTTGATAACACATCATGGTTAACTACACAAAGAACATAAAAAAGATGTTTACCTGTGTTTTACTCTTCTATTGATCATGCAAATGCATATGACTGTGTGGATCATAACAAATTATACATTACATTGTAAGAATGTGAATTCCAGAGCACTTAATTGTGCTCATATGGATCTTAGGCCAAGATACAGTCATCTAAATAAAACAAGAAGATACTAGATGACTTAAAATCAACAAAAGTATGTCAGAGCAGTATTCTTTCACTGTACTTATTCACTGTGTATACTGAGCAAATAATCTGAGAAGCTGTACAACAAAAAAAGGAAGATAAGGTTAGAATTAGGCTCATTAGCAACTATGCAGGTTGACATAACTGTGCTTGGGGAAAACTAAGATGATTTTAGACACACACTGATTAATATAGCCTTCAGTATGGATTACTTCTCAATATAAAAGACAAAATCCCCACAATTGGACCAAACAATATACAACAGCATAATAAACAGAAAAGATAGAAGTTCACAAGAATTTAATTTTACTTGGTTCCACATATAAAGTTCACCAAAGTAGCGGTCAAGAAAACAAGAAATATTCTTCACTTGGGAAATTTACTGCAAAGGACTTCTTTAAAGTTCTAGAGAAAGGATGCCACTTTGAGCTAATAAAGTACACCTATCCCAAATCATGGTATATTTAAATCCTGTCTCCACACCTTTTCAACCTGTATACAGAACAGATTATACAGGAGGCTGGGCTCTATGAGGAGAAGTGTG